AATCTTAAATAGGAAGTGATAGCGAAAGTAGAGGCTGTACTATTTTTTAGGCATCAGATGCATCAACTCCTTCCCCTCCCCTTAAGTACCATCACAACATAGATCTATGCTCCTGCAACTTCCACACCTATTAGAACTTCAGACCCATGACAATAAGGATTTGTAAGAATTTTTTCCTCCAAACAACATGTAACTTTAGACATACCAGAACAGAACTTTGTGTTAAAAGAGTTAACACCCTCGTTGCTTATGTTGTAACCTCAATCAAATCAGCTTCCACTCTTTCCCAAGGATGCTCACCCTTTTGACGAAATGGAAATCAGACCCTCAAAGAAATCCAGTACAGGAACTCAAGGCAAAAACACGCTCTCATTTTGGCTACTAAAGAACTCCTACACGACATATCATTTTCGAAAGCTTCAACTTCTCAATTTCTCTGCACCATCCATTGCATCATTAGTAGAGTGAATCGAATTCCAAATCCATTATGTACATGACACCTTCATTGGTGTAATGAACATTAATATGCACCATGCTAACTATTGAAATGAAGAAAAGAAAAAAAGCAAAAAGACTTCATGTTTTCACAGCCTGCTTGCCCTTTCCAATTGCAACACCGGAATACCTCTACACAATGATCATTGAGGCAAGATATTAAGTTTTGAAAGGAGACTAAAGTAACATCAAATATGCCTTTTAAGTTTTGAAAGGAGACTACGTAACATCAAATCTACCTACTGCAAAAAGACACACGAAAATGAAAGGACACTTTGTAAAGACTAAAGTATGGGCCCTTTACAATTGCACTCATCAGGGATAAAAGAAACCTTGATGTTGAGAAAGAACAACAACAACCAAACTCACGTAAAAATCCACCAACAATAGAGGTCCAAACTGGTAATACTAGTCTTAATTACTTAGGTTCAAATAGAAATTAGATGTCGTTCGGTGTTGATGGGACCATATTCCCAATTCTCGCATAAATCCCTTCTCGTTCTCCTAAATTTCTCAATCCTCTTTTCACTTCATTCAGCCGAAAAGTTTCTTGATTCCTCCATGCAAGGAATACTATCTAGACAAAGAATAAGTTCAACTCACTTCATTCTAAAGCACGGCGATGAAAGCTTACTTGAGTGCCAGGAAGAAGGGATTAGATAATGAGCCGGAACACATTATTTTGCCCCCAAGCATCCATTATTAAACAAATGGGTCGGAACACATTATGTTGATAACCCATCCTCCACTTAGTTTCTCCATATTTGTACACTTGAAAGTGAAAATAATAAGCAGGATCGCGGTGATTTCGTGAATATAAAAAATTTGTAGATAAATTGCACACCGAAAATAACATAAATATACCTTCATCAATAGAAGATGCATCTAGTACGCTTGATGGTTGAGTAGTGGACACTCCTTACTCAAACTGTGTGGTACACTGACTTTGGTAGGACAGGTCGTCATTATTCCTGCACGTAAAGACTATAAGGATTTTATTTATGACTCAAAACAAAGTGGTACAGACCGATACACAATACATTAGATTAACGTAGTTCAGGTTAGGTCCATTTTTAGACTTCATAGGAACAATTAGTATCCACTTTTAGACTTCATAGGAACAATTAGTAACTTCATTTGTACTTCTCCGAAATCTGAATCCTAATTCTAAGAACCAACAACTAACTATGGAAATTTGTTTAAACCAAAAATAATCAGTCATCAATAATACACAAAGAAGAAAGGAATGTAGGAACTCAAAGAAATACCATAACCAAGTTCACAATACAGGATTATAAGGTTGCAATACCAGAAGCAAGTTCAATATACTTGCTGGCCGTAGAGCTATAAAGATACTACATTCCCGAAACAATTTTTTCATAAATGGTGCATTTACATGAGCAATTAACCTAGCACATAGCATTCCCTCGTAATTCAAATACATATAAGTACAGAATCAAGTTGAGTCACCCAATTTTAACAATCAACGCAACAATACCCCGCATCAAAGTTCAGCGATTACATATAATATTAAAAAAAACTATTTTCCCAGCTTTACGTGATAACACGAAAAGAACATGACCGGTGAGAGCATACCCGATTTGCAATAGAGTTTGAGAAATAGAATGCACCCATGTCTGCACGTTTGGAAACAAACTACAACGATATTGGTCTTTCTGGAATTAGATGCACTAAAGTAATTTTGGAGATGACCTTATTTATAACCAAGTCATACATAGAGTCGACTTTCGTTGCAACCTCTGTACAAAATATGATGAACAGAAATCCTCTCCCTACACTGCCAAACTACAAACATATAAATAATGATACATATAATGTAGTATTGGAGCTTGTCTTGCGCTTTAGCTCTCGTGATCTGTGAGAAGTACATGAATTATGGATTTCATAAGTCCCTACCAAATAAAAGAACAAAGGAATGAAACAAATTTCTACAACAATGTGTTGGCCTAATTCCTTTTCCAAAGACTTACACCAATTAATAGAAACAAACTGAAACCAAACAGCTCATGAAAGGACTAATTTTTATTTATTTATTTAAAGCAATGAATTACTCCAACAACATGATGACCTGGAGACTCAACTTTGTAATGGGAACCAAATGGGGGATTCCCGTAAAAAATACAAAATTTAAACAGTGTGCAATGATAAAATGCCTCTTTGAATCAATCACTTGAGCACTTTTGGTGTCACTCTTTCAAATTCCAAGGGATAGCGAAGAAAAGCAAAAGAGATTGATAGAATGCTATAAAGGCAACTATTAGAAATAAAATATCATATTTAGTAGCAGTATCATTTTGATTAGAAGACAGAATTCCAATCACCGAAGAACTTATGCCATATTCATCATGCACACAGCACCAAGATTCAGCACCCATCAAGAACATTTAACTATAGCCATACAAAACAGGGGCCGTAAAGCATATTCATTATTTGAACAAACACAGGACAGCTGATGAAAGAAGATTAAAGCAGAAAATTCATTGTTTACCACCATTCTCATACCGAGACCACAATCGAAAGTTGGATAGAAGACTGTCTCCCTTTATCTATAAAACAACAAAGCACCCGCAAGAAATCATCAGAGGCTTAAATGTTTATCAGGATTCCCGGAACCTAACAGAAACAAAATAAGAAAAAATTTGAGAATCAGGCGGAGCGTACTTAGACTATGGTGTTCACAGGATTGCAGAATTTGTCAGTAGCAATGGTTGGTCGAGTGACAACGCCTCTTTTGGATTTTATATGGAAGGCCTTGAAGCTTGAGTACTCTACTTTACACTTCAACCCACAACCTAGATGATCGCCACACCAGGTAGGGAAAAGATGCTTGCAAACTCAAACACCTACATACACAACACAACCCACACAATAGGAGTCGGTAGCAAACATATTTACAAAGCCATAAGAGAACTGAAAGCATTGTGAGTCTCTTAATTAATCTCCGACAAAAGACACCAACGTACAGTGATGAAAGTTTGGTTGGAGTATGATGAAATGGAACCAGAGATGAAATATTGACTTAATGAATCATGTTTGCGGTTTGTGCTTCACAACATTAGCAATTTAACATGATATATGTGTTTATATGTACATGATCCTAAGGTGACACTATAATTTCAAGATACTGGGAGATAACAAAGTCAATTAGTTCTTCATTCGAAGTACTGTTGAATCAGAAAGTTCATGATCGCATCCTTAGTCTCTTCAAAAATGGAATCTTGACCTCTTCTGTATACAATTTGATCATAATCTAATCTACATGTTCAGCTCACCATCACTCCATTCTAAGAAATTCAGGAGCAACTTGAATATATCTCCCACTTTTGCAATTCCCTCCAAGTTCATATAATTGAATGTATTATGCACATTATGCATCTTTGCAAAGTCGCTCATTCTGCTGCAGTTTTCGGATCAGATCTGGTTAGCTATCATATGTAAGAACCCAACCTTTCTCCAGCTCGTATGGCACTTGGAGAACCAAATAAATGCAAGACTAAGCCAAATTTCCTAACTCAAGCATGAATAGAGTCACAAAAGAATCACGATTCTAGATAAACACAATGAAGAAACACCAATCCTCCAGAACTGAATCCAAAAATTATTAGAAGGAAAAATATGAGAAATGCAACAACCACCAGGCCTGAGTTCCTAATTCAAGCACATATAAAGCTCATAGACTAATCGCGATTCTAGACGAACATAACAAAGGAATACCAACCCACCTGAACTAAATCTTGAGAGCGTGGTTCTGAGAACAGAAAATCTGAGAAATGCCAACAACCAAGCCTCAGTTTCCTCTTAAGATGCAGATCACTAAAAATACATCATGCCAACTTATACTACTCCTACATCTTTTTGTTCAAGAAAATTTCTTTTTAACTCATTGCTCAAATAAAGCCCTTAGCCCTACACTGAACCATATGATAACACATCACACATATACAGAATCTGCATCTAATTAGCCATATAAATTGGATTCTCTAATTTCAATCACACTGAGTTGCAAACTTTGTCCAATTAAAAAGTTTTCGCATGATGATCCTACAAATTATTCACTTGCTCTTATTCTCGGTGAATCATGAGAAAAGACTGTAGATGGCAAGAATTGAAAGGATAGCTAAATTAGGCGTTGCAAGTTAATCTACCCAAAAGGAAATTGTTAAGACTGTAGATGGCAAGAATTGAAAGGATAGCTAAATTAGGCGTTCCTGTATCAACACTACATAGAACTTTAGGGAATGAAAAGAAGGCATAACAAACTCAGTGTTCGTTTCAGCTGTAATTCATATCACAGTAAAAGAGAAGATTACCAATTCAAAGCAAAACAAATCTATGAAGAAACAGAAAACATGGCTTGAACCGAGGTAGAATTGCAATTTTTGAATACTAAGAATACATGACCGGTGACAACTCCTCTACAGCAAGCGCTTCGATTTCCCTGAGAAGCTAGATCCCGCCGGTTCATCATCCTCGTCACACTCTCGCTAGCCTTTTTCGTCGCCATCTTCTCCATTCCGATCGTCGACCTCCACGACGCCGTTATATTCCTCTCCGACCACTACCTCGAGTCCGTCATTCAACCTAACATCCACCTGACTTCCTTCCTCGCCCTCTACTCCTAGCTCGGGTAGGCGGGCAAGTCGTTGTAGGCGATGCGGTTGCTGGAAGTCGGCTGGCGGAAGCATAGGATGATATGCAGCTTCTACAGGAGGAGGGCAGGTGCGGTGGGGGGAGTTGATGACTTGATGTCTAGTGCGGGCTACTGCGATGGAAAACTTTGGCGTCAACTGCTGTGGTTTTTTCAGCCTCTAACTTTCCTTTTCTCTGCCTTCTCTCTTAGTTTGGAGTTTCAGATTTTCAGCCTCCATGGGGCTGCCGGCGGCTTCTCTTTGGACCGACGGTGGCCCTCCAAAATTTTTTAATTTCATGTTTGTTGTTTGCTTGGTTCCATTTTCCTTTTCAGTGCTTTTTTCGCTTTCATGCCCATCTTTGGGGTTTTCTTTCTGCCACTCCTTGTGAGATGGATGGTTCCTGTTCCAACCTCTACTTTTGATCCTCAGATTTAGATGTGCTTGGTTCTTTCTCTCGGTGGTCAAAGGGGGCTATAGATCTTTGATCGGTAGCTTGTCTTCTCATCTTCTCACCTTTCATCTACCTCCTAGCTTCACCCATTGAGTCGGTGTTTCGGAGATGCAAAGGCCTTCTCATATGCAGTGGTCAGGATGCGTTTCTAAGATGTTGAAGGCAGGGATGCATCAGTCTGAAGCTCGTCTCTTTTCTCCAAGCCTGTTCGTTGCCTTTTTCGTGGTCTCCGGGCCCCTCGCGGACTGCTGCTCTCCCGTTGTGGCGTTGGTCCGGTCGCTGCATGGTGAGCTGGTGGTCGACGATTGCTTTTCGGCGGCTGTGGTCGTTCTGGTTGGCGGCGGTAGGTTGGAGAAGAGAGGATAGCTAGGGTTGATGTTGGTAGTTGTCTGTAGGGTTATTTGGGCTCACTATGCGGGCTCTGGGTTTTGGGCTTCATTTTTTTTAATATCTGTTGGGGCTTTGTATGTGGGCTTTTTTCCCTTTTGATTTCTATTGTATCTTTCCATGGGTTTTACCCAAAACTTTGTACTCACTTCTGAAGTGCAATATATGCAGCTTCTTGTCAAAAAAAAAAAAAACTGCTGTGGTTTTTTGTTTGTGGGCCGAGACCCATTCAATAGGAGTGCGGATCCTGTGACTAAGGGGGTTATTAGTGAAGTGACTAAGCCTCTCTTAGTCCTTAGATCTAGATATCCTAATTTAAAGGTTGAAAAGCGAGAAGGGATATTTAATTAATGAAAAGCATTGTTCAAAAAGGCACGCTTAATCTTACGCTTAGGCAAGCCTAGGCGCAAGACAATGGCAAAACGCCTCGTCTATGAGTTTCACGCCCTAATTAGATACTGCAACATGTCAATGAAGTAAGGCGAAATATAAGTTTATCCTAAACAATACTAGATGGAGTTAGGAAGTCAATATTAAAGGAGAAAATTAATGTCAACTACGAAATCAATTTTCAATATCTCAAGAACTTTGTGAGCTATTGAGCTATGATTCTATGAATTCGTGAGCTATGTTCTTATCATTAAGTGTAGAGTAAGTTACTAATAATTTTAACTAAGGTGAGGAGGAGTTGTAGATTATTATTTCTTTTATCATGCAATGCGAATAGCTATTTTTCTTCCAACGCCTAGACACGCTTAGTCTACGTCTAGGCGAGCTAGGTACAAGGCAAAGCCTCAACGTCCGCCTTACGCCTTAAGTCTTTTTGAACCTTGATTTCCTTTTTCTTTATTTTTTTCCTCGATCACGGATAACTGTCGGACGTCTCTTTTTTTTTAATACAACTCCGCTAACTTCATTTTGTTGGAGCTGGCTTTTCTTTTATTACGTGATTTTTAAACTTCTCAGTCCCACACATGCACGTGTCTTTCCTTTGTTTCTTTTTAATCAGTTTTTTATTTTAAAAATAAAAATCACAGAATTAAAAAGTATACAAAGCAATATTAAAACCAAAATATCACTATTAAATATTACAAAGTATACAGACCACATCATAAAAGTATACAAATTAATATTACAAAGTATATAAATCAGTGATCACATCATAAAAGTATACAAATAATACTACCATTGTATACAAAACATACTAACCGTACAAAATACAACTACTTACAAATACAAAACATACAAATCATAAGTATACGAATGTTACAAACATGACCGACAAAAATGAAAAACATGGTGAACAAAAATTACAAACATTGCAAAAGAAACCAACAAACATTACAATCATAACAAAGCTTACAAACATGGGCAAATAATCTGACAAACAGTACAAACCATACTAACAATACAAAACACCACTACTTATAATACAAATTGATAAACTGGAATTACAAATCAATAAATATAAAGTATACAAAATAGACAAACAAACATTACAAATTACAATATATACAAATTAGTCATATAAACATTACTAACATGAAAAAAAAATGACAAACAATACAAACCGAAAATGATATAAACATTACAAATAAGACTTATAAACATTACAAAGTAGGTTGAAAAACATCACAAATCTAACACTGTCGTCGGAAAATTCTCATTCACCATCTCCGGTCGTCGAAAAAAAACATCGTTGGAAAACTCTCTCTCTCTCTCTGGGACGCACCTAAGAAAATAGGCAATGGCAGGATGCACAACCATGGTCCATGGGACGCACCGGAAAAGCATGGATGGCCCGCCGAGAAATTTTGGTCGGCGAGGAGACGGGCTGGACAGCCCGCCGAGAAATGGAAAAGCTCGGTTTACCGGCCCCAATATCGGCAAATACCGAAGGTAATTCAGTAATACCGACACCGGACCAGTTAAGGCATTAACATATAACATATACTTCATTATTCACAAATATTACATACATGAATGGGAAATGGGAAAGCTCGGCAGCCGAGGGTCAAATGGGAAAGCTCGATTTACCGGCCCCAATATCGGCAAATACCGATACCGGACCAGTTAAGGCATTAACATATAACATATACTTCATTTTTCACAAATATTACATACATGAATGGAAGTAAGTAAGTATAGGCATCAAAAATATTTTAATAAGAGTTAATAATAAATTATTAATTACAAAAAATGAAGAAAAAACTTAGAAAAATCAAAATATTACAACATCACCCCGTTTCCCAGAAATTCGGTTCGATAATTTTTCGGTAAACCGAACCGATAAGTTGTCCGCCAGACCGCAACTACTCCTTACGGTAAGTCAGTAAAACCGGTTTGTAATCGTTTATCGGTAATTCGGTAACCGGTAAACCGCTTACAAACCGGTATCGGTAATCGATTCCCACTTACCCACACTCGGCATACCGAAAACCGGTAAAGTCGGTAACCAGTTTACCGGTTACCGACCCAATACCACCCCTAACCCTTCATTAAATTGAATTAATTAGAACTATTGGATTTTAATGAACTTGGAGGGCTGGGATAGACTTAGGCAAGGGACTAAGGGAAACCCCCTTAGTCACCTGATCTTATCCCCATTCAATAGTCAGGGCACCCTTTACTTTCGCGGAAACAGACAGAGGAATAAATTCTTTCCGAAAAAATCCCTCTGTAGGTAAGGATTTTGAAATAAGGTTGTTATTTACTCATCTCACTATTAATTAAACTAGCTTATAACCCGGCCCATTGGCCAGAATGTTCATATTTTATTTTTTATATTTTTATATTACGTTTAAGCCAATCAACCGGTTTAATTTTATTGACAATCCTTCGATCGAAATGATACATAAAGAAAGAATATATAGGTCTAACATTTGGAGAAATACCATCATCATTTAAGAATATAAAATATAAAATGTATCATTAATTCCATTTTCATAATGATAATTAAGCCCTCGTTAAAATTCTTTTGGTTAGTTGGTTGTTAAGAAAGAGGGTATAAAAGCTCAGTGAAATTCCACACGACCCATAGATAGTTTGAAACTAAATCTTAAACCTCACAATCCTACATAAGGGTTTAACGTGCTCCTTTTATGAACAATATGCCACTAATAAAAAAGAAATGAAAGGTTGTTGATTCAAGTCAACTATATACTAACAACTCGGCTAAGAGGGGACCATCAAAACTTGAGAGCAAACGATAAAATTAGGGTTATCTCCAACATATTGGTAGACTCAATCAAAGTAATAAGGCACAAAATTAGACTCTCCTTGTCTATTAGTTCCAGTAGGTTGAATAAAGAATCGACCTACTTCAATAAATCAATCAATGATTCCTTGTTTTAAGATGAAAATAGGTTGTGATAGATGTAAAAACCATAAAGATAAAGATCCAATAGCAACCACTCTTCGTTGTAGAACCAAATTTTTATCTCAAGAGACCTATGTTTCAACCAAAAATTCAATTATTAATCCTCCTTCTGCAACTCCATTATTTATTAAACTCTTTTACTTGCCCAACTTAAATCCCCAACAATAAAACCGACGTTCCAAGAGATATCGGATGATTGATTTTCAAAGGCGGCCTTGTACTGGGAAGTGAAAGGGGCGCAAACTATTGTACGATGGAGGGAATTTCCATGGAAGTTAGAAAGAGATAAGAACAAAGATAAAAACCATAAAATTTAAATTGAAAAATGCAAGGACACAACACATAGTGACAAAATTAGTTTTTTCCATGTTAGCCAATTACCAATTTACATTTAGCAAAAATTAAGGAGAGAGAAAAAAATTTAAAATTGAGAAAATTACATGAAACTCTACTATGAAAATTGAAGTATCAAGCACCATAAAAATACATACACTATACTTAGTGGGCTTTCTAATCATGATGGAAAGTCCTGCGATTTTCAGAGAGTTGAACTTCATGTATATTTTGTATTAAAAAAGACACAACAAATTTGTTCAGTGTAAATGGTTGTTATTTTGTCTTTGTTTGAAGAGACCCGGGTTCAAATCCTGATGTTAGTATTTTTTATGTGAGATAAATAATTAATTGTAAGACAAAAATGTTCTTCCTACTTTCACTCTCGTTACATGAAATTTGAAATGGAGAAAAGTACACAAAAGTGTACTATATATATAACTAGCTTATAACTTGGCCCGTTGGCCGATTAACATTATGCATGTTCATATTTGATTGTTTATA